TATTACGGTTCGCTGCCATCACGCTAACCTTGAACTAGAGGCCCTTGTGCAGAAGTTCTACGAAAGCGAACAAGTGCCTACGGAAACACCAATGTCTGAGCAAGAAGAGTTTTTTAAAAAAACACACGGAAGACAAGCCAATGGAAAATATCTTGTTCGACTTCCGTTAAAATCACTTTACGACCCTAATCAAACGTAAGGAAAATCCAAGCAAATTGCACTTAATCGGTTTTTACACTTGGAGCGTAAATTTCAGCACAACAAAACCCTACTTGTTCAATACATGGAGGGTATAGACGATTATTTTCACCTCAATCAAATTGTTCCGGCAACAACGAGTGAGGAACAACATTATTTGCTCACTGCATCTAACAAGTCCACGTTCACATCCTGTGTTTTGCCGCACCACGCGGTAGTAAAGAAAGATAGATCCCACACTAAGGTGCGCATTGTGTATGACGCTTCTTCAAAAATATCAAATGGCCGTTCCTTAAACGATATGTTGTGCACAGCCCACCATTGCAAAATGACCTCTCAGCAGTCATCTTGAATTGGCGTCTGCACAAATTCGTTTTTTTGGCGGACATACAAAAAATTTGCCGATGCATTGATATGCACCAAGATGATGCGCAATACCAACGCATTCTTTGGCGAAATAAAGATGGAAATGTCCAAGAATACTGCCTCACTACTGTGACCTTCGGCGCAGCCTCGGCTCCCTACACCGCAATCAGAGTCACTCACCAGCTCGCTCAAGACGAAAAGGAACGTTTCCCCCTTTGCTCAACGATATTTATGTTGACGATGTGTTAAGTGGAAGCGACACGATCTCCAGAGCCGTACAAATGCGAAATCAGCTTATTTCCGCTCTACAATCAGCCGGTATGGAACTCAGGAAGTGGTCAAGTAATACGCCTGAGCTTTTGCAGTCGATCCCTACAGAGTACCATTCATTTAGTGCTAGTTGGCAACATAACGAAGACCAAACTGTCAAAACGCTTGGTTTGCACTGGCAGCCTAATAACGATTTTCTTACCTTTTCTTTAAACTTTTCAATATTTCATACAGCAACTAAAAGGTCTGTGCTAGCTACTATCGCGCGCATATTTGATCCGTTTGGATTCTTAAATCCGATAACTATTGCTGCCAAAATTATTCTAAAAGAAATTTGGTCAACGAAGATAAAGCGTCAAGACGAAAAACTTACCGGTTTAGAGTGGAATGAAGAGCTCCCATCGTCTCCCACCACCTCGTGGCAAAATTTCGTTGCTGAGCTACCTAATATAGAAAACATCTCAATACCACGCTGGCTTCATTACACACTACGGCCACACTCAATGGAAATACATTCCTTCTGCGACGGATCGTTATCTGCTTACGCAGCTGCCGTATATCTGCGCATACAATACCAACATGGTGGGATCCACACCCATCTGATCACGTCTAAAGCCAAGGTAACACCCCAGAATCTAATTACGATTCTACGAGTAGAGTAATGTGGTGCAGTGTTAGCTAAAACCGTTGCCAAATGGGCGCAAAAACACTTACAACAACGCTGTGGTGAGATTCCGATATATTATTGGACCGATGCGACGATCGTCATCCACTGGATTGCCGGTGATATACACCGATGGAAACTCTACGTGGCGAATCGCGTAGCTAAAATTTTGTTAGTTAGCTTGCCCAGTCAATGGAGTCATGTCAAAACTCAGGATAATCCGGCCGACTGCGCGACTAGAGGTTTAACTCCGACTTAACTTAAACAATTCGATCTTTGGTGGATCGGTCCTGCATGGCTACGGCAAGATAAATCGACCTGTGCTATTTCTTCCAGTAGCCTAGACGATATCGACAGCACAGCTACCAAAGAAAAACCAGCTAAAGTATTAGCTCATTCGATAATTGCCGAAACTTCGTTACTACTACGATATTCTTCCTATATCAAACTGGTACGTATAACAGCTAGGCTGCTACGATTTTTTCATAATCTGCGCAAAAATCGCATTGAAGACCGTCACAGTGGACCGCTCACCACTAACGAACTTCAACAAAGTCTCTTTCGAATTGTTCACATGGTACAGGGTGAAACCTTTGGGTCTGAAATTTGATGTATTAAGTCTAAAATCAACATATCCACAACAAGCAAACTAGTCAGTTTGACACCTTTCCTAGATGGAAACGCATATGCGGTCGTTTACATCATGCGAATCTACCATATGATCAAAAGCACCCCATGATTTTGCCGAGCACTCACCACTTTACGAAACTTCTAATCGACTTTGCTCACCAAATTACACTACATGGTGGCGCGCAATTGACGCTTACATACATCCGTAAAAAATTTGGATCATCCACGCTCACAAAACTGTGAGACATCATCTCCGTCACAAACCTTCGTTACACCCGGGCACTTTCTAATCGGCGATGCTTTACTGTTACCACCGGAATCGTCTCCTGAAAACAAATCGTTGTCGTTACAATATTTTGAGCTCCAAAGATTGGTTCAACAGTTTTGGATAAGATGGTCCACAGATTGGCTCTCGCATTCTCAAGCGCGTGCTAAGTGGAGACGACAAGATCCAAATCCAGCAGTTGGTGAACTTGTCTTGATAAAGGATGATCGATTACCACCCAATCAATGGTTATTGGGGCGTATTACGGATCTACATCCCGGATCAGACAGCCTTGTTCGTGTCGTCACTGTTCGTACGCAACACGGTCTTTACAAGCGGTCGATTTCTAAAATTTGCAAATTGCCGATTCCAACTTGCAATGATGCCAACCTAATTCACTAACCCCATTGTTATTTTCTTATAGTAACCACGGTACCTTAACTAACTCGCTGTCATCAAAAACAAACGTTCGTCATAATGCTGGAGTCAGCATCGGGGGCGGCATGTACAATTTGTAGAGAAAACTTATGCAACTCACTGTACTACATCAGTGAAACACAGTCTCCCCTTCGGTACCGCCACTGTCTACGAGAGCTATAGTAACAACTTGCACTTGCTAAGCAGTATACTCGTTCTCTAACGTCCGCTTAGCTCCACTCACGATGTAACGGAATAGCACCAACTTGCTCAGCGACACCTATATGTATACTCCCACTCCATGCTGACGAGGAAACTCAGTACAAATCAAACAGCGGCCAGAAACACCACGGACCGTGGTGCACACATCTTGTACTAATACTATATCAACTATACATATTATAATTGTACTCAATAAATATCATCTTATTAACGACAAATGAACGATCATTTTAGAGAAGGACAGAGCAAAGGGACCCCGTTACTATAGTATTCGTCAATACTACACACGCAATGTAATAGGAGTATTTTACTAGCCTTCCGTTTTATAATTTATTTTAGAAATAAACCACTAATAGCTCGCTATAAAATTATGCTCAAAATATATTCCTTGAAATAATTTTGGAATAATTTTTTTTTTAAGTAATGTAACGAAGCGTTTTTGTTTGCCCCGATGCTTCTTCTAGAATGCTGGGATATACTCGCCGTGTCCCGGGTTCGTTACAATAAATTTGTAGTTTCGGGGCTCTGGTAAATCGTACTCTATTATTTAATTTTCCTTAATTTCTATAAAAGAACATATAACAAATAACAATTTGACACATTCGGTAGCGTCACTTGCAGTGACTGGGTAACGGCTCCTTGTTCCGTTAAGAGCCCGTTAGGCTGTAGTGGCTTGACTTTGGTACTGGTGGGCAGCGCTGTGCTGACGCCGCTGAGTGGCGCGCTGCTAACGTCTATAAATGGCGTTCTGGCCGCGTCGGTATGTAGCGCTCTAGCAATGTGGGTTGCGCTCTAGTCGTGCCGGTGAGTGGCACTCTAAAAACGTCGGTGAGTAGCGCTCTGGTGACGCCGGTATGCGGCGCTCTCGCAATTTCGGAGAGTAGCACTCTAGTCGCGTCGATGAGTGGCGCTCTGATGATGCCGCTGAGTGGCGCGCTGCTAATGTCGCTCTGCTGACGGCGGCGTCTACTCCCCCTCGCTTAGGTACGCTGTCACGGCCCTCTACTTCCGAAGAGGCGATATCCTGTACAGATATAAATCGTCGCACAAGGTATCTCCACTCGGTCGAAGTTGTCGTCGCGGCCACAGCTCCTTGCTGACTCACTGCTGATCGGCTGTGTTTTAACTTTAATAGGCTGTGTGCTTGATGTTACGTGGTCGCGCAGCTACATGTTGCTGTGTGATGTTGCGTTGTCATGGCACCGAAGGTGCTGTCGGGTGTTGCCATGACTCGTGTTGCTGTGACTTGTTGCGTAGCTGGCTGCTTGGGATTGTGTTGCTGTGCTTTATTGTGTGGCTGGTTGTTTTGATGGCGGGTATTTGTGTGGGCCAAATTCCTCACGGATATTTGGTCCTCACTGTAAAAAACCACGTTTTAGAGTCTTCAAAGAATATGGCAGCTTCAATTTAAAAGAAAACGTCAAAAGCACAGTTTACGTCAAATGGGAGCAATGGCGGTAAAGAAGAATAAGTGAAACCAAGTGGAACGACTTAAGAAATTTTAACAACAAATAACTTATAAACAATGATATAGGCCCGTAGTCATAGTCAAAATGAAGTCGACTTTAAAGTTAGTTGCAGCTTTTTGACATAATTTTCAATGGGATATCTGTCAAAAAAGCTGCAACTAACTTTAAAGTCGACTTTATTTTGACTATGACTACGGGCCATTGTTTATATTTTTTACTTACACATGTTTTAGAGGATACCTCCCTTAACATCCTGACCAAGTTTCATTTGTTTATTCCACCTGGTTTTCTTAAAACACAAGGTGCGGCTGACTACTAAAGCCCACCCAAAAACACACCTACAGCCTGCCAGAAAAAACGGTAAGAAGAAGAGTAACTTTAATTATGGAACCTTACGATGGTACAAACCACAGGTCTGTCAGAGCTTTGATAAATATTTCTTTATTGTCTTGACAGCATTGCCTAATGTAAAAGCGGGTAAATTTTATCATCGATAACTGAAATCGATTATTTCGAGCAAATCTTCGATTCTGGAAGGCAATCGGAATCCATTTTTCCATTTTCAGTTTGACGCTTTTTGTTGATTTGTTAATTATGCAAGAGCATGTTTACAAATTTTTGTATAATACCCTTTACAAACTGTAAGATTTGATCATAGGGTTCAATTACAAAATGAATCGAGTTTGGTCAGCAAAGTGGATGAGTGCTCAAAATGTACGTTTGTTGTATACCAAAGGTTTGGGAAAATGGCCTTTGAACAGCTTGGTGGAATTGAATAGAAATTATTCCCTTTTACTAAAAATTTCGATAGAAACGAATATATGCGGTAAGATACCAAACGGCTACTTGCATTTAGAAGTATAGATCTCTAAGCTATCGTGACGTATTTCCATTCATGTATCAACTTCAATATTTTTAGACCTGATGAAACAAAATATTTTTGGAAACCCATTCATCCGTTCCCATTCGACAATAAGTGAAGCGATTAGAAAAAAAAAGAAACGTGTGGTTAAACCTCGCTATTCCAAATATGTTGAGCTCCTGGAAGGTAAGCAAAATGTTTGCCCCGAAAAAAGGAAGAGGTATAAGTGCAGAATCCGTACATTTCTCTGATTAACAAAGTTTATATTCAGATCGATAGGGGTTTTAGTCCTTATCAAAACAGTATTCTTTTTTTAAGGTGGAAATATTTTATTTGTATTTATTTATTTATTAAAGCTTATACATGTTATTAATATATATACAACCTAATCATGCTGCGCTAGCATCAGAGGCTATCAGCTGTCCGTTGAATAAATATTTTGTTTTAAATTCTTCTCAGTTGGTCACATTCTTTTAAAAATTTGTATACCGTTCTTATATCCTCCTCAGTTGTATTCGAAAGAAGACAAACAGGGTCTGTATTAAAATTGTATTGCCTTTATCTTACAGTATTGGGCAAAATTCCAGTAGAAGAACAGTTGTTGAGTCACAAAATGGACAGATGTTGGTTCTATTTCTCCCAAGGAGGTGAGCATGCGTCACTCTAGTGTGTCCAAGCTTTGGTCAACCGTGAGGTCGCTGTCCAATCCGACGAAGCACGACGACAGAGTCGAAATTTCCTTCGGCGACCATGCTCCGGCGGACCCGGAGCGATGCGCGAGCTATTTTAGCCGGCAGTTCATACTGCATCCTCCGGTGGACAAAGCCAAGCGTCGAGTGACCAGAAGGCTGCACAAACTGCCAACAACCTGTGCCCCCCTTGCTTTCACTTGCGGTGAAGTTCAGGTGGCCATCGGGAAGGCGAAAGCCTCCAAAGCCATGGGTCCCGACGGAATATGCATGCTGATGCTGAAAAATTTGGGTCCTGCGGGGGTAGCGTACCTAACGGAGGTCCTCAACTTGTCAATGGCCACTCTCATCATCCCAGACATCTGGAAGGTGGGGAGAGTGGTCCCACTGCTCAAACCGGGGAAACCTGCCAACAAAGGAGATTCTTATCGTCCGATAACACTCCTTTCCCCGGTAGCGAAGACACTCGAGGCCTTGCTACTCCCGTACTTCACAAACCACTTGACCCCAGCGAAGCATCAGCATGGTTTCCGTAAAGTGCACAGTACAACAACAGCACTTAACGCCATAAACACTCAGATAACTCGTGGCCTTAACCGAAACCGTCCCTGTGAGAGAACGATTCTAGTAGCGTTGGACTTGTCAAAGGCGTTTGACACCGTCTGCCATTCCACGCTACTAGAAGATATAGAGGCCTCCTCTCTCCCACAGAGGCTCAAACGGTGGTCGGCAAATTATCTGAGTGGTCGACACTCGTCGGTAATGTTTAGAGACAAAACGAGTAAATTCAGGGAAATAAAACAGGGGGCTCCTCAGGGTGGTGTCCTTTCTCCGCTACTGTTTAACTTTTACATTTCAAAGCTCCCTCAACCACCAAGGTCCTCAAGTCGCTAGCCGGCAGTACTTGGGGCAAAGACAAAGAAACGTTGCTGGCAACATACAAGGCAATAGGCCGGCCGGTTTTAAACTACGCAGCGCCAGTGTGGTCGCCGGGGACTAGTAGGACGCAGTGGACGAAGCTACAGACTGTACAGAACACCGCACTCAGGACAGCGACAGGATGCCTCCTGATGTCGCCCGAACATCATCTCCACGGCGAGGCGCAAATGCTCCCCGTAAAGGAGCACAACATAATGCTCTGCAAGCAGTTCCTGATCGGGAGCCACAGAAGTGGCCACCCAAACAGACAGCTGCTTGCAGAGGAGCCCTCGCCTAGGCACGTCAGGAGGCATCTATATGAACTGACGAACGAAGTCCAGAGGTTCATCAAGCAACCTCTGGACCCGTCAGCTTACCGACTGGCCCTGAACGGCATTCACAGGGAGTCAGTCTCGAGTTATGTAGACTCAAGACCTGTGATTGCCGTTCTAGGTATACCGCCCCCGGACACAGACGAGACGGAGCTTCATCTGCCTCGGGAGGCGCGAACGACACTAGCACAACTTCGCTCCGGCTACTGCAGCAGGTTAAACTCCTACCTGAGTAGATTGAATGAGGATGTGCCAAATGAGTGTCCGGCATGCGGAGAGACCCCACATGACTCGAAACATCTCTTCGCATGCCCGGAAAACCCGACAACCCTAACGGCCTTGTCCGTGTGGACCAACCCTACAGAAGCTGCACGCTTCCTAGGGCTGCGTTAGTGGAACTTGACGACAACGACTAAGATACCAACCGTCCTGGGCGGGGTTGTTGTAGCCGCTACAACAACAACAACATAGTGTGTCCAATCCGAAGACGTATGTAGGGGTTTGAGTAAATTTGTAGGTATTGTTGATGGGTAATCTGGTTTGATCCTGGCTGTGTTCACTATTGAATATTGAGGATTTTTTTTTATTTTATTTTTTATTTAAGAAAGATTATATCATAATAACAATTACTATACAACCTATGAAACAGCAGCGCTAGCAGCAGAGGCTTTCGGCTGGCTGGTGAAAAAGGCTTTGTCTTAAATGCGTCGGAGAAGATCAGTATCATTGAGAAAATTGTAAATTTTGCATATCGTCACTAGACACGAATAAAGGCCCGAGCTCAAAAAATTACGGCGAAAAAAGACGCATAAAAAAAATTCAGCGTCAAAGACTCTTAACATACTTCGCCGAAGTTTTTCATAAGCTTTTTTTTCGCAAAATTTTTTTACGCGCCTTTTTTCGCCGTCAAAACACTAGCGCGCCTTTATTCGTGTGTAGTGACGATATGTTGTTAGTAGAAGGGTTCATTAGTAATCCAAATGGATCATCATTTACAAAAATGCGATGTATGTGATTTGCCAGAACAGTACAAAAAGCTACAATGTGTAGAACGCTAACGGTGGAATCACAATAAGGACACTGGTTAGGACTGGTACCATTCAGTAGATGACTGTTTGTAATAATGGTGTGGCCAATACGTAATCGTATATAGGGAGTGATGTAGTTTGCTGGGACGGACGTCGAATAAGTTGGTTTAGACCGATTAATGTTACTGCGGGAGTAATGGTGGGTATAATTCATCCAGTCAGCTGCTAACTTGGTACTTCTTTGTTGAGCTATAACCCGGTTTATGTCGCTCTTGATGAAGAGAGATGAGGTCATTGTAGGGATGTTGCACATTTCTTTGACAGTTCTGTCCGCCATCGAATTGCCTTTGATGCCCGAAACCCACATAATTCTCAGTTTGTGGGGGGAAGCGATTAGGACGTTTCTTAAAGCACAGACAATGTAATTAGTATTGCTGAAGTTTTGTATGGCTTTAAAGCAAGATAAGCTATCTGTGCAAATGACAAATTTTCCTTTACTTTGCTTAGAAAAGTTAAAAGCGTGAAGAATGGCAGTAGCTTCAGCTGTGAAAACAGAACAGAAGGGTAGCAGAAGACCGTACGATATAGGTATATTATTTTCTTTCACAGCAGCGAAAGAGGTGTTAGAAGATTTAGATCCATCAGTAAAAATGAACTGCCAGCCACTCGATTTGAACTGATTTGCAACTTCAGAGAATCGGGCTATGTACTCAGAGCTAGTTGTGCTGCATTTAGGAAGGGTAACAAGATCGCTGACGAATGATCCTTCTTTAATTGTCCATGGCGGGTGATGAGTACATTTATAAATGGTGGATTGAACCTTAGGTAACCGCTTCCGTGAGGCAGCTCTATAAAAGTTTTTCAGAAGCAGAGAGATGGAGCCAGTGACGAATTTTGGGTAGAGCTTATAGATGGAATCTACCATTATGTCGTTTAACGAAGGCAACCCAGCTTCAGTTAACATATCCTTTATTGGAGATGTAGGGAAGGCGCGAAGAGAGCGGCGAACAGCAGTATGGTACGGAGCTGCTAGCATCTTAAGATTATGTTTGCCATGATGCCCATATATTTCTAGTCCATGGCTGATAGTCGACAATATGAGAGCGGAGGTGACCTTCAACAGCAGAGCCGGGCCAGTGAGTGAGCGCTTGCACGAAAGATACTTAATAATACTTAAGCTAGATAATAGTTTATCTCTTGTATGTTTACAATGATCCTTGAATGAGTACTTAGAGTCTAATACAATGCCGAGAAACTTAAGTCTATTTGTACAAGGTATATTTACATTACTAAAAGACAGTAAAGGAATAGTACAATTTCGTTTCTTAAATACAAATATGTATCCATTTGGATTTAGAGGATGAGATTGAGGCGCCTGAAGAACGTGACAAATTGTATATGAGAGATAGAATTTCAGTAAAAGATACCATAACCGAAGATAGATTAGAAGTTTTAGAAAATAGTAGCAAATCATCAGCGTAAATAAGATGGCTGACATTAGGAAATTTGTTAATAGTTGCGTTCGATAACAAAATTAGCCAACACCAGCCAACAATCAAAATCAAGAGAGTAAGCGAAAATTCTCTCCCAAAGAGATGAAAAAGCAAAAAAGTAAACGAACAGGAAATTAGCCATTACTTGCAAAAACCGGAAGAAGAAGACACACCAGCTGACTTTGTTTATGTTTTATTTGTAAACAAACTGAAATTCATGTTGTCTCCATAGAAGGCAAAAAGAAAGTGAACGTTCAATGTTCGCCAGAAACATTTTTAGAAGTAAAAACTAGTTGGCGCTATCATAAAGTCACATAGCAGGCAGCCAAAAGGCATATAAATACCAAAACTCGGAAAATGCAATTTTGTTTGTTTACAAAAATTGCAACCATATGTTTTGTGATCATCTGTTTTCGTGTTGGATAATTTTTGCTGACTAAAATTTTGCCAATACAAAATGAACGCTTCTCTGGCATCAAAATAAACGCTTGCTCTCTCAATTTTTGTGTGTTGGATAATTTTTTGTCGTTATCGAATGCCATCCAGTAAAAATTTGGAAAACTATTACAAATTTTTTACTTGTCGGACGCACCTTATGATGACACTAATTTCATCAAATGCAATAATAAAAAGAATAACAGAAAGATGGGAACCTTCCATTATCAAGAGGAAAGGTAGAAGAGAGAATGAAGAAAAGATTTCATAAAATTGTATATACGAGGGCCA